AACCAACACGGCCGACCGAAGAGCTCTAGTGGCCAATGATGGCCACCAGAGGAAGGCCGGGGCAAAGGTGGTAGAGGGGCAGGTTCATGAAGGCATGGGGACAGAGCCCCTCCGCAGGTTGGCACGCATCACCACGCCCGTTCTGCCATCAGTACATCCAAAGCCATCCAAGGCCAATCGCGGCTGAGGTGGGACTTCGAAGAGAACCACTCGAGGACCAGCCCCAGCTCCTACTAGGGAGAATTTTGACGCGCTCCAGAAAGAAATAGAGGCAATGCGCACTCAGATGCGCACCATGGAAGAGATGTATAACGAGATGGTGCAAGCTGCGGGCGCTGGATCTCGGTCTGAAAACCGGGTGGCACGCGATGACATGCGCGAGCAAAGGGGTCATCACCTCGGTCCAGTCGAGGAAGGGCACCCTGAGGGAGGTGATGACGAGGAGTACATTCACCAGAGGGGTGACCTTCGCGAGCATCTCAACAGAAAGAGAAGCTTGTCCCTCCGAAAGGGACAGTCTCCGTCCTGCTCGCATAGGAACTCCAATCAACAGGCAGAGTCCTCCTACAATCCAATGACTCCCGAAGGAGTGATCACAAGGGAGGATTTTGATCAGCTAAAGAGCAAGTTTGATGCCCAGGTTGAGGCCTTGAAGGCTAAGTGCGAGAAAAAAGAAAGTTCGTTTGATGATGGCGACCTGGGAGAATCACCATTCACCTCGGACATCCTAGAGGCATCGATCCCTCCAAAATTCAAGACTCCCACCATGAAGCCTTATGACGGGTCTAAGGACCCAAAAGACTATGCTGAGGTCTTCGAAGGCCTCATGGACTTCCAAGCGGCAACAGATGCAATCAAGTGTCGTGCCTTCCAGATCGCGCTCACCGGCAGCGCGAGCTTGTGGTACCGAAGAGGCCAGGTCGATCTCGACCTACTCCCAACTGAGGAAAGAATTTATTAGCCAATTCTCTTCTCCGCATTACGATAGAAAGAAAGCGACTCACCTCGCCACCATCAGACAGAAGGAAGGTGAGACGCTGAGAGAATATGTCACAAGGTTCCAGGAGGAGCAGCTGAAGGCGCACACTGCTCCAATGACTCGGCCATGTGCTACTTCCTCACCGGCCTAGCCGACGAGACCCTCACTGTGAAGCTCGGAGAAGAAGCCCCAGCCACTTTTGCCGAGGTCCTGCAAAAGGCGAAGAAGGTTATTGATGGGCAAGAGCTCCTCCGAACCAAAACTGGCCGACCAGAAAAGCAGATCGACCAGAAGAAGCTAAACCAAGAGAAGAGGAAGGTTGATTCTAAATCTAAGGACAAGGGATCGTCCTCTTTCGACAGCCGAACCAAGTATCGTAGGTCGGAGATCGGCCACAACTGAAGCCGACCTTATGAGCGTTACACTTCAACCACCATCCCAATCTTCGAAATACTTACCAACATTGAAGAGACTGGGATGGAAAAACTCCTCAAGCGACCTGAGAAGCTCCGAGGGGACCCAGAAAAGCGTAATAAAGACAAATATTGTCGTTTCCATCGTGATCACGACCATAATACATCAAGCTGCTGGGAATTGAAGCGCCAAATTGAAAACCTCATTCAAGATGGCTACTTCAAAAAATTTGTAGGCAAACCGAGGTCCAACTCGGCATAAAAGAAAGAAGAGAGGAAACGTTCGAGGACGCCACCTCGCCGAGATGACCGACCTGCGGTCATCAATACCATTTTCGAAGGCCCAAGTGGGGGCCAGTCTGAGAATAAAAGAAAGGAGCTAGCTAGCGAAGCCAGACGCGAGGTGTGCATCATCAGGGAGCAAAGACCGACCTCCTCCATTGCCTTCAACGATGCCGACCTGGAGAGGGTCCATTTGCCCCATAATGATGCGCTCGTGATCGCTCCTCTCATCGATCACGTCCTGGTCCGAAGAGTACTGGTAGATGGAGGCGCATCTGCCAACATTTTGTCCCTTTCAACATATCTTGCCTTGGGATGGACTAGGTCGCAGCTGAAGAAGAGTCCAACACCCTTGGTTGGATTCTCTGGAGAATCGGTCTCTCCAGAAGGGTGTATCGACTTGCCGGTTTCAATTGGGCAAGATGATACACAGGTAACTCAGATGGCCGAGTTCGTCGTGATCGACGGAAGATCGGCCTACAATGCCATCTTCGGGAGACCCATCANCGCGAGCAAAGGGGTCATCACCTCGGTCCAGTCGAGGAAGAGCACCCTGAAGGAGGTGAGGACGAAGAGTACACTCACCAGAGGGGTGATCTCCGAAAGCATCTCAACAAAAAGAGAAGCTCGTCCCTCCGAAAGGGACAATCTCCGTCCTGCTCACACAGGAACTCCAACCAGCAGGCAGAGTCCTCCTACAATCCAATAACTCCCGAGGAAGTGATCACAAGGGAGGAGTTCGACCAGCTAAAGAGCAAGTTTGATGCTCAGGTTGAGGCCTTGAAGGCTAAGTGCGAGAAAAAAGAAAGTCCATTCGATGATGGCGACCTGGGAGAGTCGTCATTCACCTCGGACATCTTAGAGGCCCCAATCCCCCCGAAGTTCAAAACTCCCACCATGAAACCTTATGATGGGTATAAGGACCCTAAGGAYTATGTTGAGGTCTTYGAAGGCCTCATAGACTTTCAAGCGGCAACAGATGCAATCAAGTGCCGCGCCTTCCAGATCGCGCTCACCGCCAGCACGCCTGTGGTATCGAAGACTGCCGGCCAGGTCGATCGCGACCTACTCCCAGCTGAGGAAAGAGTTCATCACTCAATTCTCTTCTTGGCACTATGATAGAAAGACAACAACTCACCTCGCCACCATCAGACAGAAGGAAGGTGAGACGCTGAGAGAATATGTCACAAGGTTCCAAGAGGAGCAGTTGAAGGTCGCACACTGCTCCGATGACTCAGCCATGTTCTACTTTCTCACCGGCCTGGCCGATGAGACCCTCACTGTGAAGCTCGGAGATTAGGCTCCAGCAACCTTCGCCGAAGTTTTGCAAAAGGTGAAGAAAGTCATTGATGGACAAGAGCTTCTCCGAACCAAGACTGGCAGACCTGAGAAGCAAATCGACCAGAAGAAGCCAAACCAAGAAAAGAGGAAGATTGATTCCAAGTCGAAGGATAAGGGATCGCCCTCATCCGGTAGCCGAACTGAGTATCGAAGGTCGGAGATCGGCCTCAATCGAAGCCGACCTTACGAACGTTATACTCCAACCACCATCCCCATCTCTGAGATACTAACAAACATCGAGGAAAGTGGGATGGAAAAGCTCCTCGAGCAACCTGAGAAGCTCCAAGGAGACCCAGAAAAGTGCCATAAAGATAAATATTGTCGTTTTCATCGCGATCACGGCCATAATACATCAAATTGCTGGGAATTGAAGCGCCAAATTGAAGACGTCATTCAAGATGGCTACTTCAAAAAATTTGTTGGCAAACCGAGGTTCAACTCGGCAGAAACGAAAGATGAGAGGAAGCGTTCAAGGACGTTACCTCGTCGAGAAGACCGACCTGCAGTCATCAATACCATCTTCGGAGGCTCAAGTGGGGGCAGTCTGGGATCAAAAGGAAAGAGCTAGCTCGAGAAGCCAGGCGCGAGGTGTGCACCATTAGGAAGCAGCAACCGACCTGCTCCATTACCTTTGATGACTCCGACTTAGAGGGGGTCTATCTGCCCCATAACGACGCACTTGTGATCGCTCCTCTCATCGATCATGTCCTGGTTCGAAAAGTATTGGTGGATGGTGGTGCGTCTGCCAATATTCTGTCCCTCACAACATATCTTGCTTTGGGATGGACTAGAGCACAATTGAAGAAAAGTCCAACGCCCTTGGTTGGATTTTCAGGGGAATCAGTCTCCCCAGAAGGGTGTATTGACTTGCCAGTTACGATTGGGCAGAACAGTACACAAGTCACGCAGATGGCCGAGTTCGTCGTGATCAACGGAAGGTCGGCCTACAATGCCATTTTTGGAAGACCTGTCATCCATTCACTTCAGGCTGTTCCCTCGACACTTCACCAAACTTTGAAGTATTCAACCCCCAATGGGGTAGGCATAGTCCAAGGGGAGCAAAGGATGTCAAGGGAGTGCTATGCCTCGGCACTTAAAGGGTCCTCGGTATACGCCCTCGAGAAACAAGTGGAACGAGTTGGAAAGCAAAGCTTCGAAGCCGACCTACCAAGGGAAGGAGCAAAGGAGTTTTCTGCACCAACAGAGGAGCTTGAGCTTGTTCCTTTACTTAGTCTAAGCTGGGGGCCACTCAGAGGGAAGAGCTGATCAACTTCCTCAGGTCCAACTAGAATGTCTTCGCATGGTCTCACGAGGACATGTCAGGCATTGACCCAAAGATCATGGTGCCTCGCCTCAACGTAGACCCGTCATTCCGACCTGTAAAGCAAAAAAGAAGACCTGTAAATAAGGAGAGGAGTGATGTAATTGTTGAAGAAGTAAACAAACTATTAAAAGCTGAATATGTAACAGAAATTATGTATCCTGAGTGGCTTTTTAATGTTGTATTAGTTAAAAAAATCCAACGAGAAGTGGAGAATGTGTGTAGATTTTACAAACTTAAACAAGGCATGCCCAAAAGATTGCTTCCCACTCCCAAGGATCGACAACTCGTGGACGCAACAGCCGGGCACGAGCTGCTCACCTTCATGGATGCCTACTCTGGATACAACCAAATCAAGATGCATGTCCCAGATCAAGATCATACCGCATTCATAACAGACCAAGGTCTGTACTGCTACAAGGTTATGCCCTTCGGCCTAAAGAATGCGGGGGCGACCTACCAAAGAATGGTGAACAAAATGTTTGCCAAGCAGATCGGCCGGAATATGGAAGTATATGTGGACGACATGCTTGTCAAGAGCAAGCAGTCAAAGTCGCATCTTTCAGATCTGGCAGAAGCCTTTGGAGTGCTGCGAAAGTATCAAATGAAGCTCAACCCAGCCAAGTGTGCCTTTGGAGTCTCCTCGGGGAAGTTCCTTGGTTTTATGGTAAACAACCGAGGGATCGAAGCCAACCCAGAGAAGATAAAGGCCGTGCTCGAGATGGAAGTGCCCAAAACTTTGAAACAACTTCAATGCCTCAATGAGAGGGTTGCAGCTCTGAACAGATTTGTCTCAAGGTCAACAGATAAGTGTCTTCCTTTCTTCAAAGTCCTAAGAAAGAAGGGACCGTTCGAATGGACGGCAGAGTGCGAACAAGCACTGGAGCAGTTAAAGAACTATCTTTGCTCGGCACCTCTGCTCGCCAAGCCATTGCCAAGAGAAAAGCTCCACTTGTACCTAGTGGTGTCTAACAGCGCTGTCAGCTCGGCCCTAATCAAACAGGAGGGAGTGCGCCGAAGTCCCATTTATTACACTAGTAAGGCCATGACCGAGGCCGAGACCAGATATCCCCAAATGGAGAAACTGGCCCTCGCCTTAGTCACCTCAGCCCAAAGGCTCAGGCCGTACTTCCAAGCGCACACTGTCGTGGTACTTACCAACTTGCCCCTGAAGAGCATCTTCCATAAGCCAGAAACATCAGGGCGTCTAATGAAGTGGGCAATGGAGTTGAGTGAATACGACATCCAGTTTGAACCCTAAACTGCACTGAAAGGGCAAGCAGTGGCCAATTTCATCGCAGAGCTCACCCCATCGCCTCAATTGGCCGAGGCCGATCTCCCATGGACAGTCTACGTTGACGGATCTTCCAATGAGAAAGGGTGCGGAGCAGGAATCCACTTGCTCGCATTAGGTGGCGAGCGATTTGAGTACGCTCTGACCTTCAATTTTCGGACTTCAAACAATGAGGTCGAGTATGAAGCGCTTTTAGCAAGCTGGCGCGTCGCTAAAGGACTGGGGGCCGTCCACATCAAGGTCTTTAGTGACTCCCAATTGGTCGTAAACCAGATTAGGGAGGAGTATCAAGCAAAAGACTCCCGAATAGAAAAATATTTAATCAAAGTCAGATCGCACCTCGCCCAGTTCAAGACTTACGAGGTGAATCAAGTGCCAAGATCAGAAAATTCCAATGCAGACGCCTTAGCTAAATTGGCGTCAGCATACGAAATCGACCTGGCCAGATCGGTCCCGGTTGAGATCTTGGACAACCCTTCAATTTTGGAGTCAGATGTGATGGAGGTTGACACTCTAGCACCCTCGTGGATGGACCCAATCGCGGAATTCATCAAAGGAAATCCGTCGCTAGATTCGAAGGAGCAAAAGAAGATGGCGCGGAAAGCAGCTCGGTTCGTACTCTGAGATGGAGCGTTGTACCGACATGGCTTCTCCCTGCCTCTCCTTAAGTGTGTAACTCCTGAAGAAGGTCTTTACATCTTTAGGGAAATCCATGAAGGTGTGTGTGGAAACCACTCTAGCGCCAGGTCGTTGTCGGCCAAGGTGGTTCGACAAGGGTACTATTGGCCCACTATTGAGCGGGACGCAAAGCAGTTTGTAAAAACCTGTGATAACTGCCAGCGCTTCGCAAATATCATCCATCAGCCTCCCGAACTGCTCACCCTTATCTCGACCCCATGGCCATTCGCACAATGGGGAGTAGATATCATAGGTCCTTTTCCCCTGGGCAAAGGGCAAACCAAGTTCGCCGTTGTCGCTGTGGACTACTTCACCAAGTGAGCCGAGGCCATGGCGTTATCCCACATCACGGAGTCCAGAGTCACATCTTTCATATGGACAAACATTGTATGCCGTTTCGGTATACCAAACGCTATCGTGATGGACAACGAAAAACAATTCGACAATGCAAAGTTCAAAGACTTCTGCAAAAAGTTGGGCATAAGTCATCTCAGCTCGTCCCCTGCACATCTGAAAGCAAATGGGCAGGTTGAGGCGATAAACAAAATTATAAAACGGGGATTCAAACTGAGGTTGGACTTCAGAAAGGGAAGATGGGCCGAGGAGTTACCCGAAGTATTATGGTCATATCAGACCACCCCGAGAGAGTCAACTGGCGAAACTCCGTTCTCGCTAACCTTTGGCACTGAAGCTGTTGTTCCAGTTGAGATCGGCATGCCAACGGACATAGTAGAGCAGTACGAACCAACAAGAACGAGGAACAACTACTCCTCAACCTCGACTTACTAGAAGAAAAAAGGGAAATGGCTCAGCTACGATTAGCAGAGTATCAGAACAGAATGGCCAGACATTACAACGCCCGAGTTTGACCTTGAAGCTTTGAAGTTGGACAGTTCGTCTTAAGGAAGATTCAGAGTCATGTGGGCACCCTTGACCCAAGTTGGGAGGGACCGTTCGAAGTTAAAGGCATAGTCCGACCTGGAACGTACATGATGGCCGATCTGGAAGGAAATGTGCTTGCGCATCCATAGAACGCGGAGGACCTAAAGCGCTACTACCCTTGAAATGTCAAAATGGTCCTAAAAAGGACTTGTAAAAATTTTCAAGGGGAGAAACTGAATTGTTAATAAACAGTTATTTAATTTCGTGACTCTGAGTTCGATCAGAAATTAAATGASGGTCACGGACTCACATAAGACTTACGGTTTATAAGTGTAAAAATTGATTAAATTCAAGCCTCAAAACCCATGGGTTCGAGGTGCGATGTCAAAATCAATTGCGAATCAAAATTCAATCCTTTGAACGTTTAAGTTAAAGGTGCGATGTGAAAAATTCAAAATTGTTTAATAATCTTTTGAACTTTCGAGTTCGAGGAGAAATATAAAAGACCAGAGAAAGAAAATCTCAAATTCAAACCTTAAGTGAAAGGTGCGATGTGAAAAGAGTTCATCCCACACTCAATCCTTTAAACACACGAGTTAAGAGGTGCGAGGTGAAATTATTCATATAGTAGTTCAGAGTTGCAAAACCAAGATCAAAAGCTTAAGGAAAAAGTAGTAAAAGAAAGATATAGATCTGGATGCACAGAAGTAAGGGAATGAAGACTTCATTGATAGAAAGACAGAGCCAAAGCTTGTATACCTTGCAGCTCTGCCCTGAAACTTACAAAAAGAAATAAAAAACATCGATAAAAAACGAAATAAGCATGAAGCCTCAACTACTCCCGAGGTGAGAGGATAGCTCGCCTTGGGAGCCTAGAAGATTCATCTCCTGAGATCCGCCCTGCTGTGAGGGGACTTCTTCTTGCGTGGTGCCGAAATCAGCTGGCTCCTGGCTTAGAGCGTCCTCATCTTCCATGTCGGAGTAGTCAGAGTCCAGTTCCCTGACATACTTCTCCACTAACGACTGAGGGCCTAAAGTATTATTAGGCCTAGAAGCCCATTTCTCAACATACCTCTTCTTCAGATCGAGGTCGATCTGGAGGTGGGGCATGTCAGCAGCTATGCCTTTCATCAGGAACTTGAAGCCGGCATCACTGAAGTCTTTAGCAAACCCATCGAAGTCTGGGTGTTGCCTGAGTGTTTCCTCCAATAGAGCACCATTGGTGAGGCGTTCCTTCATATCTGTGAGCTCGGTCGTAAGGCGCCCAATCGAGGCATCCTTCTCCTCAAGGACTTGAGCAAGGTCGTCCTTCTCCTTCAGGAGCTGGAATTTCTCCTTCTCCAGGCCTTTGGTGATAGAATGGGCTGCTCGGAGGTGAGCCTTGTGTTTCTCACCCTCTTTCTTCAGAAGCTCGGCCTTGGCTTCCACCTCGGCCCTCAGGATATCCACCTCGGAGCGAGCTTTCAGTGGCTCGCCCTTCATGGTGCTGGCAGCCTCTATGGTAGCCGAAGAGTTCTCATTCTCCTTTGCTGCCAAGGCCTCCCTCCTATCCAGCTCGGCTTTGATCATAACCGCTGAATGAATGGAGGCAATGAACGCCTGTGAAAGTCAAAGTACACGATGGTTAGATTGAATTATAAATTGAGAAAATAAATAATAAAAGCAGATATGAAAGCATGTCTTACCTCGACAGCGTGGTCAATTGTCCTTTGCAGCACGGACCTTGGATCACTTACAAACTTGGATGCTCTCCTAAGACAGCGGTCCAAGCATGCGGCCGAGATGCGAGACACCTGGTCCTTCACCCGGGAGCTTGACGGTTCCATCCTGAACCGCATCCTCACGTCAGATGTCCCCCCCATCCGAGCTTCGGGGTCATCCACCAAATTAGCATGACTCGTGGGCAGGGTCCCACGAGCTCTGGCCTCCGAGGAGGAGGTGGTCTTCTTCTTCTTTCTTCTCATCCTCAAAGGAGACTCTCCCTTCACTTCGTTCAGGGGAGATACGTCCAGCGTCTCAGACTCTTCCCTTGGGCGCTTTTCTCCGGAGTGATCCCCAGTTAAGTCCAGCTCGACCACGGGGTGGGGACGTCAGAGGACGGACCAGCGTTACCATGGGCCGCAGAGCGTGGCACGGTAGGGGTTGCAGGCTCCGTATCCACAACGGACTTAAGGGCGCGAGCACGGCCCTTGGACTTGCGCTTCACACTGCCGGTGAACCCGCACACCATTGCTGCAAAGCATTTAAAGCAAGATGTCAGAAATGAAAGTTGCTATATAAATTGAAAACGAGACCGAGCTCGACTTACCAAGTTCGGAGTTTGGCCTTGAAGCTTCGATTGGACGAACTAAAGGGTTGTAGTCCAACAGCCAGAGTCGAGGAGCAGCTTGTCGGTTACTAGGGTGCCGATCTTCCTGCCCTTTGGAAAGCGATCCTTATAAAACTTGAGCATATCAAAGGATGCTTGAGTGAGTTCGGGAATTGGCCTAATTGATACTGCACAAGGCCAAGGAAGAATCGAGTTAAATGAGAACAATAAAAAGTCAAAAGGATTAAGACTACATAAAAAAAGAAGAGGAAAGCGAAAAAAGCAAGGACGACTCCATACCTAAGTTCCCAAACCTAGTAGGAACGTCAAAGAAGGGACGACCTGACTCGTCATTTGCCAGCCATTCCCCAGAGGCAAAGAACCACTTCCCTACCCATTCTTTGATGGAGGTCGGCCCTTTGACTATACCACCTGTGCCTTTCCTTGCGCACATATAATACCGACCTGGCTTCTTAGCTATCCTCTTGGCCTCAAAACACCCAAGAAGCTGGTCAACGTTTTGCAGCTCGACCTCGTCCTTTTCTTGAGCACGTAACCAAAATAGGATGGCCAAAGCAAAACTGACACCCCATCCGTTGGGAGCCATTTGAGCAGGTGCCAATGCAGTTCGGTTTAAGAACTCCTGGGCAAAAGGATAAAGGGGAAGTCTGAGGTCGTACTCAAACATCTTTAAATAAAGAGTGACCCATCCCTCTGGAGGATTGTCAGCTCTTTCCCCTTCCTCCGAAATCCTAAGAAGGATATTATTCGGAAGTTTAAACCCCCTACGGAGGGGTCCGAGATAGTGCTCGGGCATTTTTGAAGGGTATTCCAAACCCTGACCCGAGGCGGAAGCATCACTACCCTCCCCATCATCAGAAAACCTAAAGTTCTCAATCTCTTCCAGTTCGGATTCTAACCTACGAGCTAAGTCCTCCCCTGAGTCACTTGGTTTTGGGGGCGAGCTACTTATTGTCCGACCTGCGCTACCTAGGCTATCACTACTGGGAGGGGAAGACAAGAAAACTACCATATTTGAAAGAAGAATAAAAACAAGGAGAAGTGACTGACCTACGAAGGGTTCGAGCTGGTTTTCAGATCGAACTCCAGAAATTCAGGGAACGTAAGGTTTGACCTGAAGTCTCAGAACTATTTATAGCTAATCGGACATCTTCTACGCCGTACACGTGTAATGAACGAGTGGCCAGGATCACCTCGAAATTCGTAACGACGGAATACTCGAGTGCTCCGACTACCTGGCAGGTCCAAACATCTTCCGCAACGGTCATATTCTCTCTACAAATTAGAAGTCGCCACATGTCCAAAATCGATTTGGATCAACTTCTCTGCCAGGTCGAGATCGAACCTGACAGAGAGGGGGCCAATGTTTGGGGGTAAAAATACCTTGGATACGTGGAAGACGCTTATTGGTGTTTAAGAATTAAAATATCCTAGCTCCACCTCGAACCTGCCGAAGAGGTCGGGTTCGCCCATGGGGAAAAGACTAAGTGTACATGTCTAAGGCCGATCTGATGGAGGTCTGACCTACTCGGAGCCCGACAGGTCCGATATGGGAAAAAACATGTAACCGCCTGTCGTGAGTACTGTCGGATCTCCCACCTATAAATAGAGGGCCTCATTTCACGCTCAGGTATCGAATCTCACCTCGAACTAAATACGGAGTCCGACCTATACTGACTTGAGCGTCAGAGTGTTTACCCTCTTGTGCAGGTCCACTTTTGTGTTCAGGTCGAGC